AGAGTGAGTGAGTGAGTGAGTGAGTGAGTGAGTGAGTGAGTGAGTGAGTGAGTGAGTGAGTGAGTGAGTGAGAGAGTGAGTGAGAGAGTGAGAGAGCGAGTGAGTGAGTAAAGACAAGACAAAGAAGCGTATCAAACTCTATTGCAAACCAATCTAACACGCAGAAATCTACCATAGTCGTAAATGTATCTTTCCAGATGGTTGACCAATAAAACAATAGCGTAAAACCGGCGGTGATTATTAATGCTTTGCTGAATTTTGAAAAGGAAAAAACAACCTTTCGAATACTTTGTTTTTAAAAACGTCTCCTGAGATTTCAGTAGGAGCAGGGACGAGAGCGTATCAGAAGGCCAAACACGAGCTCGCCAGTTTATTTAGAAAAAAACAACAACACGACAACACCCACGCCCCTGTTTAAGCGGCTTTATTACAGTAAAGGAAAAAAGAGAGGGAATGGATCATAAGAAAGACAGCTTGACAAAACTTGAACAGATAGAGCACGGTTCGCTACAACAATACGGCAATCGGAGAACGCCGCTTTTAACTAACCTTTTACCAAACAATCACGATGAAATACTTTGTATTGCTACAGTGTGCGATACATAGCAATAAAAAAAATGAGTGAAGAAAAAGTATTTCCCTGACTACTGCAAACCGAGCAACACAGCTTAAATTAGAGGAAGAAAGCGCACTAGAATGAAGATATATTGATAAACCTTTTAAATGATGTTACAATTTTGAAATCTGTGCATTTGTGAATATTGTTGAACGTCTATTAAGAGAACTGCCCTGTCAGGGTATAATTTTTTTTAAAATTAAAAGGGAGGGGGCCGGGAGTGGCGAAAGTTCCTATTCTACAAAGACTTTAAGGTCATCTTCGGTTAATGTTTGACACATAAGGGGTCCTTCACAAATGACGTCAGCTCAGTCAAAAGGGGGGGGGGGGGGGTCAGTGAAAAGTTGACAAAGTTGACATGGGGGAAAAGGGGGGGGGAGGGGGAGTCCTTACAAAGTTGAAATGAAAAGAAAACGAAAATAATGTTATAGACCACATGTTCTTGACCTAAAAATTAATACTCTTAAATTGGACATTACTTGTTTTGGGCCTAAAAATTAAAATTAACAGTTTTCTCCCCATAGCAGAGACTGCTGGAAGCTAGATCAGAACAGGTTCTATCGAAATGTACATGTTCATTTTGGTTGACGACAACAGGGGTCCTGAAAATTGACAAGGGGGAGGGGGTGTCATTTTTTGCCAAATTTTAGCTGACGTCGTTATTGAACGGTCCATAACCAAAGGGAACAGTTTCGGCTTACTCTCTGCGATCTACAGCTCTGTACAGAGTACGCGGTGCCAGCCACAATACAACGTGCACATAGGAGTACATCACAGTGAGTGTGCCTAATACTACACAGGCCTATGCAGGCTACACACTTGCATGTTACACACAGGCCTATGCAGGCTACACAGGCTTATGCAGGCTACACAAAGACCTATGTATGCTACACATAGATCTATGCAGGCTGCACACAGGCTTATGCAGGGTACACACAGGCCTAAGCAGACTACACACAGGCCTAAGCAGACTACACACAGGCTTATGTAGGCTGCACACAAGGCCTATGTAAGCTACACATAAGGCTATGCAGGCTACACACACGCATGCTGGAGCACTCAGCTTACCACGGGAGCCACTACCTCCGTCCCCTTGAGAGGGAGCCCGCTGCCCTGAACTACTCCCCTGCTCCCTCGGTCCACTTGAAGGATTCCCGCCGCCATTATTCCCAGCCGTGCTTCCTGTCGTCGCCGCGCCCTGATCGGACTCTGCGGTACCATCATCACCACCATCACCATCATCATTGCCGAAATCACCATCACCCTCACCATCATCATTGCCGAAATCACCATCACCCTCACCATCATCATCATCATCACCACCAGACACTCCTGTCTGAGTCGAAGCGACAGATCCTCCAGTCTTCTGTGTAGTATCTTCTCCTCTGTTTCCCGCGTTCGTATTGACGACATCCTGCATAGCCTGCGTCGTCAGCTGTGTTTGTGAAGTACTCTTATCCTCCCCGGGGCTAGAAACAACGTCTGCCGACGAATTCTCCTGCGACGTTACTGTTGACACATCGTCCCCACTCTCGGGAACACCGATCTGAGTGACGTCTGTACTTCCCAGGGTCGAGGTTATACTCTCCAAACGCTCCACAACATCCGCAGCTGTTGGATTCTCCGAAAATGCCCTCGTGCTTCCCTCATCCGCTTCCGTAGTGATGGGTCCAGTCTCGCTTTCACCGGCAGTAGAACCATTAACCGTTGTGGCATCAGTCACGCCCCCTGACGTTGAAATTTCAACTGGCGTCCCTGAACCAGGCGTTAAAGTTGTTATTGTAAGTTCTTTGCTGTCTTCAGGGTGAGTAGTTTCTTCAGCTCCAGTGTTGTCTTGGCTGTCTGATGACGGACTTGTCTCGTTCTCTGGACCAGTTGTGCTGTATGGGGGCGTGGTTCCGCCTGGACTTGATTCTATGGCTTTGGGGTTATCTCCCCCTCCTCCAGCCACCTCGGCATCTGCTGCAGTGGTGCTGTAGCTATCTGCTGCTTCTATTGTTGCTGTTTGGTCTGCGCCTTGTGGTGCGTCGGGGGCGCTAGGGGATACTTTATTGGAACTTCCCGTGCTACCTGTCTGTGAAATGTCTGAACTGCCTGTTTGTGAACTATCTGAACTGCCTGTCTGTGAACTGTCTGAATTACCTGAAGTACCTGTCTGTGAACTGTATGAATTACTAGTCCGGGAACTGTCTGAATTACCTGTCTGTGAACTGTCTGAAGTACCTGTCTGCGAACTATCTGTGCCACCAGTCTGTTGACTGTTTGTACCACCTGTCTGTGAACTACCTGTATCACCCGTCTGTGAACTACCTGTCTGTGAACTGTTTGGAGTACCTGTCTGTGAACTACCTTTGCCAACAGTCTGTGAACTGTCTGTACCACTATTCTGTGAACTACCTGTATCTCCCGTCTGTGTTTGTGAGACACCCGAGTTCCCTGAACTCCCCGAAGACTGCCCAGACTGTGCGCCACTGGACGACAAGCTAGAAGAGTCACCTGGATTAGGAGGTGGTTGCTCTCCCGAGCTCTGAGGATCTTCCTTACCTGGGATTGTGCCACCTTGAAGCGAGGGGTCATTGGGGTCAGTTCCGATCCTCTGTAGTTGGGAAAACATCAGACACAAATGTGAATTAGGTTCTGTTTCGTTTTCGTATGAGTTTTACGACACTTGCAACACTATAAGGTCATATACGTGCGAACATTAGAGGTGTTACAAAATTTAATGAGTAACGAACACAAAAAGATGAATGGGAGATAAGGACGATAGATGTTTGATAGATTCACTTCAGAAGTTTTTCCAACGCTATTTAAATGTCCTGAGATTACATCGGGAAGAAACCTGAATTAGGTTCAATATACATGGACTTCAGTACTATTTCAACGCTATTTAACTGTCTTGAGATTAGTTGTATGGGAAACGTAATGATGAGGAAGTTACCTGTATATCAAGCAGAATAGGTTTCCGTGTTAGAAGACAATAATATCATTATTGAACACAGTTATGGAGAGGAGTTTTAACTGGCTGTAAAACAAAGTTTCAGTTCTTGTAAAATATTCCCGTTGTTTTTATAGTAAAGATCAGATAAGAGGCAGGTTGGTCTTTGACAATGGCAGTAGACCTTACAAAGGTAAGGTGCACTCACGCATACACTCACAACAAGACAGGACATTAGTAAATACATGTCTCACGTGTTGGAACAACCCGCTCCGTAAAACTCTCTCTCTCTCTCTCTCTCTCTCTCTCTCTCTCCCCCTCTCTCTCTCTCTCTCTCTCACTCCCTCTCCCTCCTCCCCCCTCTCTCTCTCTCTTTCTCTCTCTCTCTCTCTCTGACAAGGCCAACAATTATAAAAATATGATACAGCAGTCCAAGCCAAAGACAGAAACATTCGATAAAATAGACTTCCCTGACGCAAGAATTGAACCCATGTATTTTGCACGCAAAGGCGAGGAGCTTTACCATTACACCACTCGGGTCAAGCAATATTCTAAAGACAGTCACCTGAATCTAGAAACACAACAACCACACAATGTGTAAATTAGATTGTCGATGACTTTTGAAAAAGTAGTCAATAAGCCAAGCCTCGTATTCTTTAAAAAATTATCGTAAAACGAGAATGCTCATTTTGACATTTTCTGTCAAAATTTAGAACTTCAGGAGAATTGAGATACTACATCCATGGTAAATTAAAATATTCTGGGTTTTTTTTTTGGGTAAAAATGTTTGGTTCCTGTTATTTTTCTTCCATTTGTTCTTCTTTGTCACAATATCAGATGATGTAATTGGGAAACTTAAATCTTAACCCCCCCCCCCCTTTTCCAAAAACACACACAAAAAAATATCCTTTCAGAATATCCTATTGTGAAAGAAAGATACATAATAACATTTTCTATTAACAGACGTGCTAAAGATAGTGCTAATCTATTCAAAACCATCATATTATCTATAAGCTTACAAACACATGCCTAATCACAACAGAAGGCAAGGGGAAATATAATCAAATAAACGACAAAACGGCACTAAGACTATGCCTGTCTCGTCTCGTGCCTAATATGCGCACAAGCATTCATGAAGATGTGGGTATAGATCTACCAAACAAGCAAACAAAGAAAAAAACAGTTAAACAACATTTGCCTACTGGATCGCTAACAACAAACATTTGCCTACTGGATCACTAACAACAGACATTTGCCTAAAAGAACGGAAGTCTAACAAGCACTTAGTGAACATCCACATAAAGAAACACTCACAGAGAGTACAGATTCTGGGGTCCTGAGTTTTATATATTATTATATCTACATGAATATTCTTTATATTTTACAACACATTTATAGCAAAATTCGTACACAACGAACAGATTTAAACGTCTCACCGATTTTGCCAAGTAGGTGCTACACATCATATTATAACAACGATAAGAAAAGGTGCTACTTTTTGATTGTGTATAAAATCGATTATTTTGGTTCTCTACGCTTTTCCTTTAACGCGAGTAATACTAAGTGGTCTAAATTATAGTAAGTTATATGATAAAAATAGCATTTTACTGCTTCAATGTGTGTTCACAGTACCAACATGAACAAAATAGAAAATAGTAATTTTTTCCCGACCACGAGATGGATTTTTCTATTCTTTACTTTTTAAAAAAATAATAAAGTTTACATCTTAGTTTACCCAAAACCGGGATAACATTGATCATAGTCACCCAAGGTAAATGTACATGTAGATGGTAGGTTTAACTCAACGTCAAAGGAATCGAAGTATTGACATGCTCAGCACGTTTTTTGTTGCCGTCAGGACATCCAGCATCTTTTTTTCTGTTAACCTTGGCAATAGCACAAAACCCCCCACAAAAAACAACAACAACAACAACAATAAAAGCACTGAGGATGCCATGGATACATTTCATTTTTTAGCATTATGTTATGTTGAAGTTATTTAGTACTCGCATCAAACACACAGATACAAAAATCAATGCACACATTGAAGAGGTTATCTAGATGTATGATTTATCACCTAAAGCGCACACGCACACACATGGTTGTAGAAAAAAAATCATGACAATCTACACAACGAAACTTCTACCGTGACAGAAACAAAAAGTGTCTAGTCACAAACATTGCTACAAAAATGGCAGCAAGGTAGAAACAAGAGCTGCAAAAGAGAAACAAACAAACAAAACAAAACAAAACAAAACAATTCAAAATTTAAAAAATCTCAGGATAAATGTAAAACACTTGCTTTTGTAATCTAAAAAGAGGGAAAAGCGTCTAGTCATAAAAATCGCTACAGCCCATATATTATTCACTTTGAGGTACAGTTGCAGATACCAAGATATACTTATTCTTTAATTCGCCTTCAAAAAGTGCGCAATTTTTTCAACTTTAGGCTCCGCCCATGCGAGAAAAATTAGTCGCTTTTAAGGCCAAGCGGGCTAACCCAGATTTTGGGGGTTTCTAAAAATCTTGACCTACACCAAAAGTGGGCATTGCCCTACCTATAGGAGAAGTTTGGCTTCATTGGTGTTTCATTTGTTTGGTTGTCGGGGAAAAGAAATCGTTGTCTTTTAAAGAAACTGAAAAAAGGGCAAAAACTTTACCTTCGATTTTGTCAAAACAGCATTTTTCAGGATAGCCCCCTTGTGCTTAAGAGCGACCAATTTTCACTCGTCGTACGGCTATGAGTTTGCAAATGAGGCAGTCTCCGCCCCTTCATCTCTCTTTGCGTCTAAGTGACGTCATACTTCGTAGTCGTTCGACGAGTGGAAACTTTCCTTGCGTGAGCTGGGTATGGTATGCGTGTGTGTGTGCGCGCATGCGCGCGCGCGCGTGTGTGTGTGTCTGTGTGTGTGTGTACGTGCGTGTGTGTGTATGTGTGAATGTGTATGTGTGTGTACGTGCGTATGTGTGTGTGTGTGTATGTGTGTGTATGTGGGTATGTGTGTCTGTGTGTAAGTGCGTGTGTGTGTATGTGTGTATGTGTGTA